GAAGCACGCTGAAGCTGGATGGAGCTGAATAGCCCCACGGCTGCCTTGGAGGACTTCTGAAGGTAGGATAGGAGGAGAACTCAGCCTGGCTCAGTGCCTGAAGGTGTAAGTGCCTCAGGGTAAAATGCTGGGACACTAAAGGGCTACCGCAAAGTTTATGGCACTGATTGCCTGTGGTTTCACTGAGGCAATTGAAAGCTGAACAACTTTGGTGTGAACCATGCCATTTGAGGTTTTCCTGCTATTTTGCTGGGGAGGGGGTAAGTTTCATCACTTTTCTGGAGAAAATGGCCTGACCTTTCCTTAGTTCTCATTGCAGGTCACTCCCATGGTCCCCCAAAGAGACCCCAGACCTAACCTGGGATGCAACAGAGACTTAGAGAGGGACTCTGGTCACAAGGGCCAGCCCTTGAGGGGAGCCAGAAATCATTGAATCCAGAGAGCTTTGTGTGAAACTCTAGTTTGAATGAACTTCTTTAACATTTAAAACAGACATGCATGGGGCTGCTCTGATTGAAGGAGGCAGGGGTCCCCACCAGGCCACCTGCTCTGAGACCCTCAAAGTAAAAAAGAAAAAAAATCCCTTTATTTTTCTGTTTAGGAAACTTTAAGGGATGTGACAAGTGTCACATGACGAGGTGGTGGCAGAACTGCATCTTGAACTCAGGGCACAGACTTCCCATCCTACAGAGCCATGTTTCGCTTATCAATGTTGTGAGACCCCTCACCTGCCACCCAGGAGAGAATTGGCAGGGATAGTGAGCAGGATACAGAGGCTGGAGCTCTGCAGAAATACACGATCCCCGATCCCCTGCAGATGGTGGGGGACTCTTCCTCTCCCGTGGCTGCACATGGCCACAACCGTCACTGGAGAATAGGTCATTCCCTCCCTTCACCAAGAAGGCTTGGTACCATAGTCTCTCTGGAAACATCCTGTAGCTCTTACTCATAAGACTAAAGAGGGGAAAACCACTGTATTTAGTTACCAATTGAGCCCATAATTCCCCTTCTGTTTGCAACTCTTTCATTTTTAATCTACTTGTACCTGAATAAATCCTTAAATCTCTGCTCTTGTATTTCTGTTATAATTCCCAATCACACATCCTTTATCTTCCTTCCTATACAATTAGCAATGACATGAAAACTCTTCAAATTTTTGCTCAGTGTCCATTTGTCCCATATGTAAGTGCGACAAGACAGGAACACGTCCTTTGTGGTCCCCTCTGTACCTAGGGACTAGCACAGGGTTGCGAAGTACAGACCCTGGGTCAAATCTGGCCCAGTGTCTGTTTTTTGTGTGACCCAAGAGCTAAGGATGTTTTTTTATACCTCCAAACTGTTGAGGGGAAAAAAAATCAAAAGAAAAATGTCTCACAATGTGAAAATAATATGAAATTCAAATTTGATGTTCATAAATAGGCTGTATTGGACCATAGCCATGTTCATTCATTTACATGTTGTCTATGGTGCTTTCCGGTTGCAATGGCAAAATTCAGTAGTTTTGACCGAGAAAAAGGGCAGAGAAGGGCCATGCTCAAGCTCCATACATGTGTGGGGGATTAAACTCAGATCTCTCAAACTCCTGCAGGGTGTTTATTTATTGAATTTCCTCCACCTGGCAACAAAGACTGCAAAAACCATGGTCCAGAGTCTAGCCTGACCCACGTCAGTAGGTTTTCTAGATATCCCTGATAGGTAAATATCCTGAGGACCTGGGATAAAAGGCACTTTGTTAAAAGCCACTTTGAACACCTCCTTGAGAAAAGACACTTCAAGGGATAAAACATTTTTGCTGGAAGGAGCCCAATGGATCCTGTTTGTGTCCAAGTTGAGTTTAGTTTTCATTCTGTTACAAAATGCAGCAACCTTAGGAAATTCATGTTCTGATGCTATGTCGTTGGCTCTCAGACCTTGCTTTTGTTCCTGTACACATCTCTGACATGGGAACAAAGGCTGCAGGTCCATGGATTAGAGACACTGGCCACAACTCACTGGTATTAATTTGTGTCTCTTGAAAGTGGTGATTTCCCTCTCAGTCACTGCTGTTGGGAGATTCTTGCTTATTTCACTCCAACCAATAAAGATAAGTCATGTTCAAGGATACCAGGGGCCAGAGAAGTGGCAGGATGCTACGGGAGAAATAATAATCTAGAGTCCAAAGGAAACCATGTTGAAGTCAATAGCTTGAATCTTATAAATGCTCAGGATTAGAAGGGGCCTTAAGAGGTTGTCCAGTTGTTGTTCAGCTGGTTGACTAAATGTCTGTTCTCCTCAAAATCCACAGGTTGAAACCCTGGTCCCCAATGTGATAATATTTGAAGGGGGGGTGGTAGGGAGGCAATCAGGCCCTCCCTTCATTTCAGGACTTGTGTTCTTACAAGAAAAAAAACAAGACCAGAGCTCTCTCTCTCTTGCTAACTCATGTTCTCCCTCATTCCTTCCCTCCCTCTCCTGTCTCTCTTACGTGAACATAGAGCAAGAAGGTGGCCATCAGCAAGCCAGGAAGAGAGCCTTCTCCAGAACCCCACATGCTAGCTTCCAGACCTCAGACTCTCCAGCCTCCAGAAGTGTGAGATTCCAGTGTCTGTTGTTCCCAGGGTCCTGTGTGCGGTCCTTTGTTGGAGCAGCCCACCTGAGTTTGAGCATTCCTTCCATGGACTCTGCTTGGATGCTCACAGGATGCTGCCTCCACAACCCTATGAAAAAATCCAAGTGACTCCTAATCATCAAGTCCAATTTGCTCCCTGTTCAGCCTGACTGCATGGTCTTGCTTCCATCCCTTGGGTCCTAAAGGTAAAGTTAAATTTCTCTTCCACAAAACAGCCCTATAACCATCTCACTTAAAACCACCTTTGCCACCATTGCCATGACTACATAGTCTCCTGGTTTTCCAGACCCAGTGAACCACCATTTTCTAACCATTCTTCACAGGCTATGTTTCCATGTTTCATATTTCCACCGAAACTTCACACAGAGACACGAAGCAGCCTTTCCTTCCCTCTCAGGAATGAGGACATGAAAAGAAGCAAGTAGGAAGCCTAACTGGAGAAGCCACAATCTGGACCATTAAGAGTTGTTTTGGGTTTGGAACCAAAACACAGATGTCTTGTAGAAATGGCACAGAGGGGTGGTTACCTCTGGTGTTAATCACAAGGAAGGGGACAAGGCCTGAGAAAGGAAATGGAAATCTAGATGAATCACTCTGGATGTTAGATTTCCTTCCTAAAACTTCAAAAAAAAAATTAAGTATATCTGAGGATGCTCCTAAGTGAAAGATAAAGAAACAACAGCTTCTGCTTCAGAGGCACACCTGTTACCTGGGCAGCCCTTTGGGCAGAACCGGGCATACCTGAAAAAAGAATAAGCTCATCCCTTGAAACAAATTATCTGACTCTAGGGCTAGCAAACAACTATGGCTCTCTGGCCAAATCCAGACTGTTGTCTGTTTTTGTAAATAAAGTTTTATTAAAACAAACCATCCTTTTTTGTGTGTGTGTGCTACATGATAAGTTCAGTAGTGGCACATGGCCCACGAAGCCTGAATAAAAATATTTGCTCTTTGACCCTTTAGAGAAAAATCTGCTGACCCTTGGTCAAGTTCACTGTTTCTTATGCCCTTTGGTGCTAACTAGTGCTATATAATACTCCCCTAAATATGTTGGGAGAAATACTCCGTGTCAGATGTCCCTTTGGGGAACACAGAGTTTTCACTGGCCTTTTCGAGTCTCCCAGAAGTCTTGCAGACATGCATTGCTTAGCTTTGTTTAACTCAGCATTGCTCAGAGTCACTTGACCCTATCAGCATTCCACGGAGCACAAGGAGCACACTCGGCGAAACACCAATCTGGTTGCTTATTACTGTGCTTTGAATTGATTTTCTTTCTATTTTTTTCTAAGCCTGTAGACAGGCCTTGCTTAGATTTTCCAGTCTAGTGACAGTTGTGCTGATGACATCGGAGAGAAAGGTTGTGGTTTTCCTCTTAGACCAATGTGGTAGGGAGGAGCCGCACCTCTGGCTCTGGAGGGTGCACACAGAAGTTGGGAGCACTCCCAGAGGGCACAGCATTCTCCCTGCAATGTCTTCTTATTTTCCCTCTTTACTGAATCATCCCTATGAGCAGAGAAATGTTATCTTTCACCTTACAACTAAACTAAACCCTCTATGGAACTCCATTCTCATCTGGCAACCACCCTCTGGTGGCATTTACAACAGAATTCCTCCAAGTGTTATCTATTCTCATTTCCTCCAACCCCTCGCCTCCTACTTTCTCTCCATAGTCAGCCTTTCTCCTGCACTCCCTGAAATTGCTTTCTTCAAGGTCACCATGACCTCCAGGTGGCTAATCCAAAAAGTCAAAGCTCAGTGTTGTTTTTATGTAGAATATTTACTGTTTTCTATACCCATAATCCTCCTCCACTACCAAATACCTCCTCCTCTTGGCTCCTGGGACTTTCCTGGGTCTTGCCTCTCCTCCTACCTCCTTTTCAGCTATTGCCCTGAGCTTCTTCATCTCCCTGACCTCTACCTTGGATGCCCCAAGGCCCTTGCTGGAATGCTTTTCCCTTTCTATACTTTTTCTGATGATCTTTCTGTCTCGTGGCTTTAAACACCAAGTGCATTCTGACGGCTCTTACATTTCTATCTCCATCCTTGGGTGGAATATTATTTTTCCAGAAATCTACTTGGCTTTTGCCTTTGCATTTCTGCTGAAACAGTGCCTTCTCAGTGAGGTCCTCCCTGATCACTCTCCATAAATATTTGTGTAAGTCATACCTCCCCTTGCCCCTGCTGCCCAGAGCTCCTTTGCTGGGCTTTCTTCTCTTCTTGGCACTTAGTACCATCTGATGTCCTGTACATCTGCTTGGTTAGTTGTCAGCTGTCTGTCTCCCTTCACTAGAACACATGCTTCATGAAGGCCATAAATGCTTGGTTCTCTGCTATCCTCCCAGGGCTTAGAACCTCACAAGATACATTGTAGACACTAAATGTACTAGGATGAACAGAGGTGAGAGTTATCTGACATGGGGTTTCAGGGCTCATCATGATTTCATAGCTGGGGGAGCTAAGGTTAGATATTTTTGACCCAAATCACATGATTTACACAAAATAGAGCTGATGCTAGAAGTCTGGTCACTTGCTGAGTCTCTAATAAGTACCAGGCACCATGACAGACATCATGGACAAAGGGTTCATTGTTCTCTCATGGAGTTTTTTTTTTTTTTTTAGTGAAGATCACCTTTGAATGAACAATGACAATTTACTCCTTGGCTTCTAGGTCAGGCTCTTTCAATGGCCCCTTGCTATCACCATCATAATGATCTTTAAGACCAAAAAGCTATACATTTTTAAATTGCCAACATTCTCTCCTGAGAGCATAGATCTTAGACACAGGACTTCTGCAGTAGAAAATGAATTTACCCCTTGTATGGAAGGCAGTTTCCTTAGTTCTTATTGAATAACAACTGTTAAAGAGATGGACATCCTGGGTAGTCTGTGAGGTATCCCAGTGTCTACCATCTGGTCTCTCACAATTTCATTACCAGTTTTTAATGCCTATGTCTTATCTCGGTGGGCAACTTTATTTCTGTCCATTCTTGGTGGTGCCCAATCCAAAGCAATAAGCCTTCCATGTGGAGAAGATTCCCTTACCCAATAGCAAGCAGAGAGTGTCAGGGGCTCTGTCAGGTCTTTTTCCCATCCTGGGAGCCCGCAGAAGAGAAATAGCAAGAACTATTTAGAGATCTTCTCTCACTCATCATTTCAGAACCTAAAATTGTCAATTGGGTTGGCATCTCAAATGCCATATCGTCCCACCATTTTGCACCAATGCAGGAATTCCCCAAACATCTGTTGCATGTGAATTCCCTTCACTTGTGTCCCTTTTATCAACATAATATATTTATTCTCAAACAACTTTCCTTATCTTGAGTCAAAACCAGATCTCTAAATCCCTTACACATTGGTCCTGGTTTTGCCCTTGACATCCCATTCGGAGAAAATCCCATCTTCCACTGATTTTTTTTTCAGGTCTTCAAGAAGGGCTGTGAATGTAGAAAGGGCATTTATTCTACTCATATTGGACCTAGATCCAGAATAACTTTGTTGTCTTTGATAGTAAATGTAGGTTAGTACATCTTTGCTATTTATTCCCAGCAAGAGGAGTATGAAGTACCACCATTACTAGGGTATGGCTGGGGAAACCAAGGTATATGGATAGCAAATGACTTGCTGTGGGCTCCGCAGACAAATGATTCTGGGCTGCTTGTCCTTTGCTCCAACTCAGATTCCCTAATGTGTTGCACACTCCAGAGAAAGCTATTACAATAACGACTCTGAGAACATTAGAATTCTTATTATTGAGAAAGATGCACTTTCATTTAAAGGGCTCCATTCTTCTTAGATGAGTTCTACTTTCTGCTTTCTCTTCATTCGAGTCCAATGTTTATTATTTCCACTCCACTGCTGGCCTGACAAAGCTAAAATTCCACTCACACCAGCCAGCAAACTTGATTCCAGACAGCAGGGGATGGGAGCACTTGGTCTATTGGAGACAAAGCTTTCTCTCCAGTTTGGTCAGCAAGCTGGATTTAAACTGACAAGAGCAGAGTGCTACAAAAATAAGATCTATTAATTGTCCTGTAGAAGGAAAAGGTCATTGGGCAAATGTTAGCCTGTATCTCATTTTACAGCTAGAATCTGGGCATCAACATCAAATCATTTCTCTGTAACTAGATTCTGCCTTTCAACAATAATTAAAAAAATGACTCTGGATAAAATCATGCTGTAGTTCTGCTTATGAATACTGTTACTTGAATATATTTCACTTATTCTGAAATCAGTCTGGAGTTGCTGACACTGTACTTTCTCCAGGACCCTACTGAAAAATTTATTAAAGGTGTCTGAGACTATTAACTGTTTCTCCCAGATTCCCTTTGGAACCCATTTCTCAGGCTATGGCTCCCAAGGTAGAACAGAAGTTTCCTGGTGGGATCCAGGTCACTGATACCAGGAGCATGTGGGAGAGCAGTAGGCATACACAGAAGTGTAGCCCATAAGACCAAATGTAATTTTTCTGGAGACTCCAGGGACGGAGAGGATGGAAAGCAATACCTCTAACTTCCCAAAGGCAGGTGGGCAGTACATATATGGCTCTGCCTTGAGTTGGTGGTTGCATATTTTCAGATTCAGCAAATATTTACTGAGCATCTATGTGTCTATCAAAAATGAAACACTCCATAAACAGAGCTTCATGTAACCCTCACTATAACCCTGTGAGGTGGGTGGAGTTTGAGTCTCCTAGTTTTTTTCTTTTTGTTTGCTTGTTGTCAACAGTTTGAACCAACGGTTACGCCTACCATGTAAGCCTTACCCTGAAGAGGGTAGAGCTTGGATCATGAGTGAAGGATGGTAAATAGATTCTCCCACTATGGTATCAAGGCAGGCCTCCAGCAGGGTGACTTGGTCAGGATCACAAGGCTGGGAAGTGGCAGCCACGGTGGAAACCAGGGCCCATGCTGCTTCTCCTTTCCCTACTGTCTTCATGTTTATGGTCTGTTTACTGTGTTTGAGCTTAAAAGATGCCTTTGTGGTCACCATCTCAGTAGTGTTCTAACACTGATTTTAAAAATGAAGACATTTTAAAGGTTGAGAATTTGTAAATATCATCTGTAGTTTTCCCCCTTCACTTTTAGCTGTGGATCTGTTTGCATTCGTCTTTACCTGGGTGATCATCAAAGTCCCTGGTCAGGTTCATTTCCCCTCTGCTTTCTCGGTCTCACTCATTCCTGGCAGTTATGCTCCCATTTCAGGGCTCTGTGCTAGAGAAAATAGAGGAATTCTGCTTCACACATGAATCATTTCTCTCTGGTTCCCAAAGTGATCATGAGGTCAACTAGCGGTGTATCAGCCGATGGGGAACAACCTGGTCCAGGGGCAAGTTCTCCCTGTGTCCTTCTCCTTCCAACGCCTGCTCTTGAGTTCCCCAGGCACCCACACTTCTTTCTCTCCCCTGGATCCTTGGGACTGATGTTCTTGAGGAGTCTGTGATAGCAACTCCTGTAACTCACCAATGGGGATGGGAAGGGGAACAGAGCCCCTCTCTGCTTATTAAGGCATTGTTCTCAAGGTTGGCAAGCTCATTGTGCTGAGGGAAGTTGTGCTATTCTCCCTTCCGCCTTCCTTTGGAAATATCTCCCTTAGCATGACCACAGACCAGCTTAGGGAGAAAGAAATCAAAACAAATATAAAACCTAAGGAGTAGGACCTTCCTTCACCCTGGGTGTCCTTGCACAATGGGTGGCCTAAGCCTATGTGTGAATGCAGAATATCAACCGTGAGCTTCCTCAGGAAGGAACAGCATTGAGAAGAAATCGATGATCCTAGAACCATGAACATTTCGATCCCATGCTGATTGTGTAGTCAGAAGTGTTCTGCCATGACTGTGGTTGTCAGTGGCTTTCTGCAAATGAACCTAAAAA